ATATTAAATTTGTTCACACGGCAATGTTTTGGTCTGATTTTGAAATAATGAGCACCTAACATTTTGCAGATAATACATGAAATGAGATGCATTACTTGTTCAAAAAACACATAACATAAACAATTACCATAATTTAGACCTCGTAGACATATGTCTTTCATCTCTGTCATTATCTTTGACCCAGATGCTATCTTTGTAAATGATTCAACAAAACTTGGTGTGAAGCAATACAAATGGCGAGTCAACCACTGGACTGTCACCTCTGTGACACCTGGACTGCAGCCTTTACATTTCTGATACTACAATGTTGTGAGTAGTAGTTTGTATAAATGAATTGTTTGAATTATATGACCTATCTACTGTATTAGTAGCATAGCAGTGGTAGATAAGGTGGATGAATTATGGCCTTAAGTCTGTGATCATTACAAAGCATAGGAGCCTAATAATTATACTCTATGTATTTTTCTGTAAGGGCCCCTACACTTTGACCCATGTACGATATTATATTCAATGCTTGGTGGTCTGTATATTATATTGATTATATAAGCATTGGAAAGTGTGTAACATGTATTAGACATAAAAAAAACATGACATTAACATAATGTCTTATGTTGACTTACCTCCTGTGTAGTACCCCCAGGCATAAGAAAACCTGCTCGTCACCCAAATAGCACCCAGCACAGAGGCTGATAACTGAGAATATGAGCAAAGAGAATTACAAAACAGCCGGGAAACACAAGAGACATACAATTTAATTCGATGAAAATATGCTTAATCACTGTGACACTGCCTTTTGGGGCATGACTCTGTTATCTGCAGGATTTAAGGCAAAGATCATGAGGAGTGCTCGCCCCTCCCACACGCCTGACATATGTCTGTTTTTGTAGCCCTTAATACGCACTCCTAAGGCCTGCTAATACGGCAAAGTAATGCAGACAACTCACACTAACTAATTCGTGCATAATTAAGTACGCAAAGATGACACATACCGGGTAGACAAGAGCTGCAATGGTCTGGAAAACAAGCCACTGTGGGTACACCTCCAGGGTGTTCTGGTGTGCTCTCTGGATACAGTTGAATACCTGCTCCTTGTCACTGTACATAGTGGGATACTGCAAATGTAGAGACGTCGCAAAATTAACCAGAGGCACAAACTGCAAATGCTTCCAATACAGTTAGGAACATGCAGTATTCACTTTACGCCTTCTTGTTTTTCCAATAGTTTCCACTTAAGTCACATTTCAACTACCTTAACGTCGTACTTCTTCCTGGCGGCCCCAACCTTCAGTCCTAAATACAGCAGCATAATCCAGCTGTAGAGGTAGGTGAAGATGGCATATCCAAAGCTGGACGGCAGTACAGTGAGGATGTCCATCGCTGCTCGGTATTGCCTGCTGTGCTGGTCACTGGAGGACGGTGGCGTTCAAACTACACCACAACGACTTTATAGCCCAGTGGAAGAGCAGGAAGCGACAAGGTAAACAGATTGGGGTTACACAAACTCTCGCGAGATCGCTTGCCTGGCGAGGTTATATTTAAAGGCCGATCACACAAGTGTTAGTGTAGTCCACATGCTGAAACATGACTGTGCTGTGTGTGGTTAAGGAGTACTATTAAATACATGCACCATTAATTGCATTTTATGTGGGGGTTCTTCTCCCAAAAGAGGAATTATAGAAGGCTGTCTAAAATGGAGCCACAGCGCCAGCTCACAATGGGTCATAATAATATTCACTGAATTGATTTCTCTTAATCACATTATGTTATATACCCTTAAACACAGACAGTGTTCCCTCAGACTCCCTCAGTTTCACACATCACAGTGTCTATCTAGTCTCAGTTGTGGAGAGCAGGGTAAGGGTCTAACGATGATGGGCTATATGAATGGCGGGATTCACCCATACCCCATCATGTTGCAATGCATACGAACACAGCAGTCATGGGTTTCCACAGCTAAAAGGCATATATTTGTGTTTTTGTTGTGCATACACACTCAAATTCATCACATATGTGAACACATGGCATTTATTGCAAATGCTGCATTCTCCATTTTGTTCTTGGTCGAAGAGGATCCAGACACTTCTCTGCCTCTTCAGGTCGGCACAAATGATTGGATCATTTTGAACAACTTTGTCCGTCTGAGCCAACCAGTATATATAATAGACGTCCCGAATGCGTGTTGACACATTATATAAGGTCACATGTGGAAATATCAGTTTTTGGAGAATACACATTGTGGACATTAAAACAGTAACAACCGTCCCTTCCTTCTACCGAACACCGTCATTTACCGTAGGGGTGGGCGTATCGATCTAAATATTGATAGTATCGATACCAAGATGAGTATTGGTATCGGATCGATACTATCGTGATGAGATCGATACTTTTGTTGCAGTTTCTCTCCGAGTTCATGCGAGCACAGCGTCTCTCCAAGTCTGTGCAGTGTGCAAACAGCGCATCTCTCTCTCTCTCTCTCTCTCTCTCTCTGACTCTCTCTCTCTATCATGTGTCAGAACACTGAGAGAAGCCTGTGATGATGGCAGAAAGAAAGAGAAGTGTGGACTTTATTCACTACAGCTGATAGGGACACTGCCACATGTGATGTGTGCAAGAAAGTAATTCGCCACTGTGGTACACCACCAATTTGTATAAACATATAAAACATATAAAAGCGTTCACCCTCGAGAGAACACTTCTTGACCCCCGACCAGGACCCCCAACACAGAGACAGGAGGTCTCTTGGCAGAGGCTTTTCAGCCAAGAAATTCAGGGAGTATTATGTGGTCTCCATGCATCTAATCAAAGCAGTTGTTGGTTTCTAACATGTTGCATCAGATAAGCACATGTATCTTAGCCACGGCGAATTTACATACTAGAATAAAAATGTCTGCTCAGCAGGATGAACCATAAAATAAGCCATAAACTAAAACTCTGTTTTACATCTGTGAAATCTACTCAAAATAGTTTATTGTTATGTTACAATAGTAATACAGAATCCTCAGGGTTCTAATATTATTTTTATTCTATACCTAATTATTTGTTAGTAGCAAATGAGTGAATTGTTCCCTGTACAATTAAGTCATATAAAGCAGTCAAACCAATAATAGATTTGCCCAATTAATCATAATTAGGTGTCGCCTGTGTCCTTGTCTGTTTAGATTATACTATAAGTTTATCATTACATCATACATATATTCATTCAAGTAAGAGTCAAGTTCACAAGGAAAAAAAGGGCATCTCACGAAATATTCAATTAAATGCATATATAATCGTGAACGTTTACAAGTAAAAAATATAGAATATTATATTACGTGCGGCCACGAGGCCTGTGACCTATTACTGGCGTACTACGCTCTCTCGTTTCAAAGAACAATCGAGAATCGTATAGTGGAGACAATCAACGTGAACTGGAAATTTAATCGCGCGGAGTAACAATCAATACGCCCTGTATGCTCACCCTGACCAATCAGGCCAGCTCGCTTTCTATCGCTAGTGTTCCGACCCCACAGAAGGACAACAAGCAACCTCGCTAGAAAGGAGTCAGAGGCGGTTCTCTCTTGATTCGCATGACAGAATATTGAATCAGTAAGAGTGTTTCAGTTCGAAGTGCATTCAATCTTAAGATCATCCCTGAGCCTGCTTTATGATAGGAAGCTCTGAAAATGATCCCGACCCTATGATTTGGACTAACGTTAGTTTAAACTACAAACCAATAAATGCCCAGTGTTTTTTAATTTTGTTTTCCATAGCCAGTCATCGTCAGTGGGTGGGGTCGTTTGCACAAGCGACTTTCTCCACCTCGTTGACCTTACCTCACTCTCTCTACGTATTGGATCCCATATCGTCGGCAGAACAAAAAAGATATTCAGGCGTAACAGCGTACTTCTCGGATACGTATCGCTGTATTGTTGTCAGAATGCGGGTTTCAATTGCGTCCTTTAAGTGATTTAATACTTATAGTCAAACTGTATTGTGTTTGTAATTTTAAGTAGTATGTAGGTTCAAAGTGGTTTTTTGATATCTTTAAGGAAGCTCTCGGATATGAAGTCGTTTGTAGAGAAAAGTCAGACGGTATAGCTCAAGCTATCAGGCTAGCTTAGCCTAACGTCAGGTCAGGTGGCAAAATTTCCAGTGCTCTCCCGGGTCAGCCGTTGCTACAACCGGTTTACACAGCCGTTACACAGCCGGTTGCACAGCCCGTTGCTTGCTCGCTAGAGGCAGTTACTGAGATAATGTTATGTAACAACAGCTATGCTATCACCTAGCATGCATCTGGGGCTGATTGAATAATCAGCATGGGCTCGTACAGTTTGCTTCTACCAATGTGCCTTGCTTCCAGCACAGAGCAGTTTTATGCAAATCGTGCCACTAATACTAACTTCAGTACACATTTCCTCCGCAGACATGTGTTTCTTAGTTCTACCACTACAAGAGCCTACCCATTTAAAGTTTACTGAATTACTGGATGAAGTAAGTTTTCTAAAAGACGTATATTTGTCTCATTTCAGCCTTGTGCAGAAACGATGGCCAAGGTGAAAGGACTCTCACTCTGACATGGCCCACGCTCGCCAGACTGGACGGCATCAATGTAATCTTTGACCAGGAACAGCCTGCCTCATCCCAGCTCCGCTCCACAAGCAGAAGTGACCACTCCCCTTGGCACTGGCCGCTTACCAGGGGGGACGTGGCAGTTAAGGGGGGCGCTGCAGATCTAAATCTTCACATCTTCTACCGAAGGCAGGTCTTCCCTCTCGTTCCACGGTCTCGCTCTCACCCTCGTTGCAAACAGGCGTTCTTCCCGCTGGCCGCTGTGACAACCACTACAGATATGGGCGCGGGCAACATACCGGGCTGCTTTCCCCACCGCGTGCGATACAGGGCAGTTCTCGTTTCCGTCCCATGGTCACCTGGTCGCAGACATGACTCCGTTTACAGACGCCACAGGTCCACAGCTCCGGGTCTTAACACCACCATCGCTGTCAGCGCCCGGATACATGGAGGGATGCGAGCCGGTTCAGATGCAGGCCGTCGCCGTCTCCATCCAGAAACAGCAGGAGCCGCTCACGTTCCAGATCAGGACGCTCGGTCAGTCTGAGCGTGGATGGTAAGTTGGTTGCATTAAACGAGGAAATATTAAGTATGACCTTTTTCAAAAATGTTGAACTAAATAATAGTTTAAGTCTTAACTCTAAACGTATTTGTGTTTCCAGATAAAAGGGAACTCCTCAAGGCTGCGATCGGCAATGTCGTGAAGGTCCTTGGAACGGAGAGGCTGGAACTTCCGGAGAGCGTGAAACCAATCCTGGCAGAGCGGTCGGAGTCCGAACAGTCGGAGTCGGAGCAGGTGTCACCAGAGCCAGAGACAAGGGTGAGACAAGACCCTGAAAAGACTCCATCACAGGTGGGTGTCTGAGGATGACTGTCTGCTTCACATTGAACCCATCACACACACAAGTCACTTTACTTAAAGGCCTTGAAGTATTTTTTCTCACACCAGAATATATAACAAGTCAACGGATGGTGAGAGTAGAGATGGTTAATAGTGTTTTGTACAACTTGTGCACTGACCATTAATGTTTAACACAAGGATTTGCTGTAGAGGAATAATTATTTTTTTATAAGAAATGATCCTAGCTGTATCAAAGTTATACACACATACAGTATATGAAGCACAGTGTAATGTCTACAGTTGTCTATTGATAAGCCTGAGCTCTATGTTGTGTTGCATTTCCTGTCTTGTTAACCATTGGACCCCTGAGGGAACACGCATACTCTCTGTATTTATTCCTGTCTTCATAGATAACATGACAGTGGTCTCCTTCACTCATCGGCACCTGGGATTAAAGGGCTGTCATGTGACTTGGGTGACGACAATATGTGTTTGCGTGAAAGGTTAATTTGATAACTCTTGACATGTTCACAATGTTTAGTTTATCAACCAGAGGTTTGCAAATAACACACACCTCACATTTAGAGATGAAGCACACAGTTCATTCAAATGCTAATTACACACATAGATACACAGACGATGCACAAGAGATTCAGATATTATATTGCAATGACTCCACATGTAGATCTTTCTTAGACTTCTGACAATTCAAATGTATTTATGCTTGCAGTTGAAATGGGTCGTTGTTATTTAGCAGAATCCTCCACTTGCCGATGGAGCGCAGGCGTGTGGACTGCGTTATAGTGACTATTCCTGTCAAGAGAACTAAAAACAGACGAAGAACTCCTCTCCTTTTGCCAAAGATAAGTTGGTACACGGGCCGTGTGCTGAGGGGCTGGGAAACCTACGTCACCATCATTCTGCCACTGTAGACAGAGAAGAGAATCTATTTACCTTGATACTTTGTTTGCATTTGTTTTTCATTCTGTTTCAAGGTCTGTCCTTGAAGCATTCATTTAATGGTCAGGACTAGCCTTTGACAGCAGTGTGGGGGAGGGGAGGGAGGGGAGGGGGGTGTGTGCATGAGAGCTGCAGTTTGTTGAAGCTAACACTTAAACAATGAGCTATGTAATAGAAGTGCTTTACAATATTAGTAAGAGAAGCTGTAATCCATCTAGGTTTATGGACTTCACAAACTGTCAAAGCTCAATCTGCCATAGGTTTTAGGGACATATCTAACTAGGTGTGTCTTTCTTCTCTTTTTGAAACAGAGCAGTGAGGTGGACCCTGATGATATGTCCAGCCCAAAGATGTCTCCAAAGAGGAAAATCATCTCTTTCAGCCTTAATGTAAGTGACTTAAATGTTGCTTTACATTACCCTGCACACACATTGACACGTTCTAATGTCTCCTTTTCTCTCCTGTTAGAATTCAGTGGTCAAACCAACAGTAACGGCTCCGTCTTCTGCTAAGGTAACTCCAAGAGTGGACAGTTATGAAAGCAGGAAGCCCTATGGCCACTGGGTTCCAGTCAAATCAGGCCGGACCAACGCACGCAAACACACACTCAGCACCTTGTTACGCTAGTGTGGCAGAGTACATGGACACTGTGAATACTGTAAATATATTGTACATATATTGTTCCATCTTTTCACGGCCGTTTTCTTTCAGATGTTAAAGATTTAAGTGGGAGGAAGTGAAGAATTCGTTCAGGTGGGATTATTTTTTTCCCTTTGTGTATTGTGTTAAAGGATTCATTAAAGATATTTATTTGATTAAAAAAAGGTGGTTATGTTGTCTGTTTTTGTAACTCCTCTCATAAATCACTGATCTGCACTCAGTGGTAGGTTTCAGAGTTTCCACTATTGACTAAAACGTGCACATGGAGAAACTGGCTTTTAACTAGACTACTGATAATGCCAAAGTTAATTATTCATACTGTAGTACTTGGAACTATTTATTCACCAGAATAATGGTGTATTCCAGTGGGCTACATTAATGTACAACTCTGCAACTGAACGCATGTAAAGTAAGGGTAACTTAATACTTGTACTGTAGTAAAAAACAGTGGATTACATCAAAATCTCAGTTTTGGTCATGCAATATTTATTTGAAAATATCTAAACTAAATCACAATAGCTTGGTAATTAGTGAGTACATCTACAACCAGGTCATCTGTCTCACTGCAAAAAGGTGCAGGGTTTGTTTCTTTGCCTTCAGTTGTGTGTTTGTCCTGTTTTTAAACCAAGTGTACGTGTAAGGATGGCCTTTACTAGCACGTGGATGGATGAGTCAACATGGATACAAGTTCTACAATGGCCACTAGGTGTCAGTATTATCATACTAATGACTTTTGTCTGTACATGGGTAATGTTTGTATTGAGAGATTCTTAAGGTTGAGGTTAATGCAGTGGTTACAGACTGACTCCCCGCCAACATCCCTGATTTGTTTGGTGATTTAAATATGAATGATACAAAATGGCAGTCTAATCATCAAGCTAGTTATAGTGATTTCAAAAGTACATTAAAATGACACCAAAGTACCCATACACTGCTGAATTACAGAACAGAAATGTTTTTAAAAACCTGACACCTCAAACAACTCCACCGTTCCTCATGATTTGTAGTTCACGCTGATCACTGCATCGAACTGGACGGTAGCCTTTTTCCTTAAGCCATGTCCCAGTCGGAGTAGCAGGTGTAAAATTCCCAAAAGAGTAAGACTTAAATAGAATTGAGCAATCGTTAAAGTTAGCGTGCTTTTCCTGCTACGACAAGTCAAAAGGTCTGCTGTGAATAACACCTGTAATAGTGTATCAGTCAATATGTAGGAATCACAGCCACACTCAGAGAAGGTTTGATGTCTCATTTGATCACCAGCCATCAATCACCATCAGCTGTCTGCTTACACAAGAAGTGAACATGCTCCTTCACGAGTAACTGGGTATATCCTGCTGTTGTGGCGGCACAGCTACTTACCCTAAAGCTTGTGTGTATTTATCTTGACGCGGTCTTGGCATATGTTAAAACTACTGATAAATTACTGCCAGAAGGTAAGGTTATTAGGTGAGATATTAAGCAGGTAATAAATTTAAAGATTTTTCATGCTGATATTGAGATACATGTCACAATCTGTTGTAACAAAAAGGTAAAATCACAGTTTTGAATATGTCTGACTGCCAGACTGCGTGTCTCCTGCTGTAAACTGACCTGTTAGTCTGATGAATTACTTTGATAGGAGATAAGACATGCAACTACATAACACAGTGAGACTTGAGGGAATTAGAGCTGGATTACTTGATACACACACTAACAAAGCACAGTCGACAGTCACGTTTATCTTCTCATGCTTGTGTCTTATAGAGTGATCGTGTTTGTTTTTGAAATAATTGGCACCACTTAAGTCACTTGCAGGCTTTTGTGCCTATGGGGAAACTCACCTATTGACACTCTATTCATCCAGTTGTTTTCTTATCTTTAATAATTTAATGTTTACTAGGCTTAAATCAAACCCCTTTTTGCTTTACAGGGAACACTAACTGGCAGTTGGCTGTGAAAGAATCAAAGGTGTCAGATCGTCTGTGAGACACAACAGTCAATTTATGCCGTGTTGTTCCCTATACAATTGCCAGCCAATATCCTCCGGCAAATCAGATAACACTACAAAAATATCACAATCATAGACCCGAACACTTAATCCACTCCCTAACAGATTTAAAGCAGAGTCAGATATCAAAGACATCGTTTGAAGACCACCCCTACCCTTCGTGAGCGAAACATAAACAGCTTGTGTCATGGTGTCTTTGCACACTATCCTTTTGAGGGGCCCCCCCCATAAATGTATTCAATGTGGTTCACCAAGACTGACTCATGCAGATTAAATATAACAAAATATAATAAGTAGAAGTTTGATTCAATTCAGTACAAGATCTTCCCCTCACAAACCGATGCCTGTGTGCCCTGTAGAGGGTGCAATGCCCCCATATTCACACACGCAGGAGTTCAGGAATGGGAGACTTGCATGGGAACCTGTTTTCATGTCTTCTCCAGTCACAAGGCTTTCTTGCTTGTGTCACTGCTTGGGGCAAGTTGGTTAAACTAAGATGTCGATGATAATGAATAAATTGAATTGCTCAGTTGTTGGTCCTTATCTTTTGTGTGCACCTACACCAAAACATTCTTTTGGCTGGCACCTTCTGCTAAACATGCCCCGAGGTTTGATGGTAGTTAATGGTAGTTCATTCTCACGCTCAAGCTCTCCGTCATGAGACCACACGCAGTACACCAACAAGTGTGCAATAGATGGATAGTGGGAAGTGGTTTATTTAAAAATAATGGATAAGAATGAACATAAATGTTGTTTAAACTTCTAATACTGTACAAAGGAACACCACGCATTACATATACAGGAAATTACATTTTTGCCTAAAATAACCTCAGCATAATAAAAAACTGCATTACAATACAGAGAGAGCCCAAGACTCTTAAATGAAGACCAAACTGAAGCAGTGAACGTCCAGAGGTGACCGGACCCACTACACAGCGGTGCCTCTCTCCAAGTTTTGTTTGATCTCCGCTGTGTATTTGCCGTAGAAACGCTCCGCCTTCTTGTTGAACTTGGCATTCCTCTCGTTAATGTAGTCGATGTCTGCGTCGTCGTTGTAGGCCCTGCGTCGGCTGTACTTGGCCCGCTTCTCGATCCTGACAATCGCAAATAAAAGCAGTTTAGGGAGGATTTCATAAACCACTGTGGCCACTATCCATGGGCATATCCAATAGCAATAATTGGCTACAGGCAATAATTGGGGTGGGTGGATGCATTTAAATTTGGCAAGGACAGTGGCAATGGAAAACCTAACACACACATACGTACTCAGAGGAAAATACTGTCAATTTGTGAGCACCCAGTCTTGATTCACTGTGTCTTCAAAGCATTGTTGTGCGTCATACCCTGGCAACTGAATCCTTGTCTAATGCCCCACAGTCGCATCTCTTAACACAAGTCTTCGACTGTTTCAAATATAGAACAGCTCAGGGAAAGACCAGGGTAATCAAAGGTGAAAGGGACTTCTGTAGCAAAGACTTAATGAAGATTTAGACTGTTTGAAGCAGCATTCACACTGAAGGTACTGTTTGATGTGCATTATAATGGCCTAAGGTCAAGTTAGTCTTGCCATTGTCTGACTAGGGAAATATTCAGTTAAAGGTGGTCCACTTGGGTAAGTTGCTGCACCCCCCACACCAATAATAATGAACTGCCTCCTGTCTCTGCTTGCATCAGAATTTCCACTCCGGAGCTTTCTTCAGATCAGATAGGCCCTGGATCTCTCTCTCTCTCTCTC